TGGAGCACGCCCCCCCCCCCCCCCCGACCGGCTGTACACGAGTATGTCGTCAAAAAAAACCAGAACAAATTTGCGAAGGAAGGCTCGCAACACGTCATTCATCAATGAATGGAAAGTGGCCGGTGCGTTAGTAAGTCCGAAATGCATAATGAGGAACTCGTAATGCTCGTCGTGGGTACGGAACGCTGTCTTCGGAACATCCTTCGGCCTTACGCGTATTTGATGATAACCAGACTTGAGGTCGATCTTGGAGAATATCGTAGCACCGTGGAGCTCATCAAGTAGTTCATCAATTACCGGAATCGGAAACCGGTCCGGCACCGTTTCTTTATTCAATGCGCGATAGTCCACGTAGAACCGCCAGCTCCCATCTTTTTTTTAACCAACAAAACCGGGCTAGAATAAGGACTAACACTATCCTGAATTATGCCGGCTGCCAACATTTCCCCCACCAATTTCTCAATCTCGGCTTTTTGTACCTGGGGATAACGGTAAGGCCTTACACGGATCGGAGAAGTTCCAGCCTTTAGCACTATCGCATGGTCTTTTGCTCTCTTTGGCGGCAGACTAGTCGGCATTTCAAAGATCTCTGCATGTCTCTGCAACACCCTCTGCAGCTCTTCCGGCACCCCGCGCCCTTCCTCTTGCGAGCTCATTCCCACGTTATTCAGTTCTACCCAAAGTCCTTGTCCCTCATGCTTGAGAGCTCTCATGAGTGCTTTGAGAGTGACCGAAACCTTGTTCAGACCAGGGTCCCCTCTCAACACAACCGACCGACCATCCAAATTGAATTTCATAAGTAAAGTCTTCCAATTCACTGTCATCACGCCTAGAGTCTCTAACCATTGGATTCCCAAGATCAAATCCGAGCTCCCTAGTTCCAAGGGTAAAAAATCTTCTATAACCTTAATTCCCTGCATCGAAACAAGCACTCCTCGACATATTCCCTCCCCCTTGACCGACAAACCTGTTCCCATGACCACACCATACCCCCCGGTCCAATCCAACGACAACCCCAATCTCTTAACCAGGTCGTATGAAATGAAATTGTGGGTTGCCCCACTATCTATCAAAACAATTACCTCACACCCTCCAACCTTGGAGCTTCATGGTCTTCGGTGCCGTGAGACCCACCACTGAATTGAGGGAAAGCTCCACCAGCTCTTCATCCACAGCCGCGTTCTCGCTTTCCTCCAAGCATTCCTCCCGTTCCTCCTCCTCCCGAACAATCAACACCTGTAATTCTCGGTTTGGGCAACGGTGGCCCACAGAGTACTTTCCATCACACCGGTAGCACAACCCTTTTTCCCGTTTCACCCGAATCTCAGCGTCGGTCAGTCGCCTGTACTGTGCTGTCGCTCCCCTCGCCCCTGTTTCCTTCTCTGCGAGAGTGTTTGACCTACCCATAGATGTATTCGAAGCTCCCAACCCCAGCCCAGTTGGCCCACGTGAACTGTTGGCTATATTTCTACCCCCCAACCCGCCATGCACGTATTGGGCCCTTGGGCCGCAAACTTGTAGGTTACGGTCTTCCACCCGTTGAGCGAGCTCCATGATTCAGCCCAACCCCACAGGCCTCATCATCTTGGTTTCTGCTCGGATCTCAGGCCGCAGTCCGTTCACAAAGGTACTCTCCAGCACCTGTTCTAAAATCTCCGTTAACGGAGCCGCCAGAATCTCGAATTGTTTACGGAACTCACGAACTGTCGTTTCCTGTCGCAACGACAGAAATTTCTCGCAGAAACTCCCCTCTTGCGTCGATCGGAATCGCTCGAGCAACATCTTCAGATCTGACTAGTCCCTCACCGCACGTCGACGGTCCTCCCATTGGAACCAGGCCAACGCCTCTCCCTCAAAACTCACCACCGACACCTCTAACTTTTCATTTTCAGTCAGCCTGTTTAAGGCAAAATACCTCTCAGCTCGGTAAATCCACCCATCGGGATTCTCACCGTCGAACGTCGGCATCTCCAACCGGCGCGTGCGAAACTCCGCTCGTGTCCACCATCCCTCTTGCCTTCATACATTGGTGTCGACTGATCCGCTGGCTCCTGCTCCACCGTCGTCCGTTGCTTCATCAATTCATCGAATCTTGTGAGCAAAAATTCCATTCCCTGATCGAGCCTCGAAATTTTCTTCAAATCCTCTCGTACAAGCTCAAATTCCCTCTGGAAATCTTCCCTCACCCCTTCAGCCTAGTCCTTGTCACGATCGTCGGTTCGCTTCGTTATTTCCCGGAACGGTTGCTCTGATACCAAATGATAAGATCGAGACCAGATTCCACACAAATCACACGTTGGAAGGGAAAGAAAACTCAATATTGGAATTAATGGCAACAACGGCCGATATGGGGGTGTTTGAGTGACCCCTTGCACTCCAAGTCTCTCTTACAGAATTCACTCAACAATCTAAAAAGTCCCTCTCTCTCGCCCCTCCCTTCCTTTTTATTTCCCCTGAACTACCCAACGCCTATTCTTCAGGATCTCGGCACAGACCCCGAAGTCTAACTAACTAACTAGTCATACCCCCTTCCCGCTCAATTTCCAGCTCAGCTCCTTCCTTCTTCTGAGATTCTAGCTCGGCTCCTTCCTTCTGAGAATCCATTCCATTACATGAGAATTCCATGTTGTTCCCCTGCACTTGCTGGATCCTTCCCTTGGATACGCCATCGAGCATACGTAAAACGGATGGGTGGCTTATTACACATCTCTGGCATATTATCATATAGAAACCTAGAGCGCCATCTCAACTAAATATAGAATCATGCATACTAGACGAAGAATCTGAGAAAAGAATCATGATAAATCATATATAGCATACCCATTAGTTGGTTCTGATACCACTTGTTGAAAAAATATGAAAAAGTTCATAGAAATGCAGCGAAATGGATTTCAAAATTTATTTCCCAAAACTTTCTTACTCAGTACTCTGGAAAATCAAATTGTTGCAGAACTCTATATGCAGTCCAATGAGCATAGACAATATTTTAATGCTGTATCCTCTCCTTAAATAACATGGAATCAACGCTTGAACTCATTTGTGGGGTTGTCTGTTGTTCTTTGTGCAGGCATCGTCAGGTCGGAAATGCGGTACCTGTTAATGTTGCACGAGCCTTAGGATATGCCTTGGGTTTGGCTGCTCGAAAGCTCAGTAGCAATGAACCACTTTTGACTCTTCCTAATGAGTTCTCTCTTTCCAATTTTTCTCAATTAGCTAACAATAATGTATCACAGGAATGACAGTATTAGGCTGTCAAGTCCGATTGTCTTTGCCTATCCGGGGCTGGTGTCTGTCATATTTTTCCCGAATGCAATTCTGCAGCGCACAATTTGGTACACTTAGGTCTTAAACGTCGACAGCGAACTAAATTTGGTCAGAGGAAATACACCACCCTCGATCAATCATGAATGATCATGTGCTTCTGATTCTGCACAATGAACAATTGATGCAGCCCATATTGGGAAGTCACATTCTAAAATTTTAGAGAACTGCTACGGAAGAAAATTCAAATTCTACTTTTAGAGGCTTTGAATTATTTGAATTAGCAATTTCACAATTAGGGATGTTTTCAAGAAAAAACATTATTTGATTTTATAGCTTAATTGTTGAATCAAGAAGTTTTCTAATTTTATTTTCCTTTGATTTTAATTTTTGCAATTTTTTAATTTCTGATTTTTGTTTGTAGTTTCCTGTTCTTATCTGGGACAATTTTGCCTATAAATAAGTTGGTCCATAATTTCGAATGGTATGATTTTTATGAATTAGTTTAAGAGTTCTCTTCTTATTTCAATTCTGGGGATAGGTATTTTCCTGTGAATCTTTAGGTTAGTAGATGCTCAATCAAATATCAATGGATTTAAGAAAAGTTCTTTTTAAATTTTTTTTTTTTTTTTTCCCGTGTGGTGTGGTGACTTCTTCATGCACTTTTGTTCTGTATTAACATCCTCTTCCCATTTCAAATAAAATGAATAATTGAACGAATAATAGCTCGTTTTGATTAGTCACATATGTTGGAACAACTTATTTGTGAGTTACGTAAATGGCTGTTTTTTGACTACTTTTTTCATTAAATGGCCGGAATTTTTTTTATATAAGTAAAATGACCTTTTTTCAATAATAAATTAATGATTGATCGACAGTTAATCTGATCAATTAATTATTATAATTTATTAATAGTTTATTATTAATAAATATGTAATTGTTGATTGAAATTGATTAATGATTAATTGATTTTGGCTAATTATAGATTAATATTTTGATTAATAATAAAAAATACCGAGTTAATTAGTGATAAATTTAAATTAAGCAACAATTGATGGTTAATAATTTAGTGATTGATTGCTAGTTAACTAGTAATTAATTACTAATTATTAGTGATTAACTACTGGTTAATTAGTGATTGACTATTTAGTTAATAAAAAAATACCATTTTATTAATTTTACAAAATTTCGGTATTTTTTTTAAAATCCTTGAAAATGGCTATTTACCTCTATATTCCTTTATTTATTTGTTTGTTTTTATTTTTCTTTTTTTGCTGAAAAAGAGTTCGAAAAAGGGGCGATTAACATTAACAGACTCTCTCGGTATTATTAGAGGGGCATTCTAAATGTTGATATGAATATTCGTTGAAGATCCTTATCGGGCCATAGAAGCGCATCAACCCAATCTAAATGCGCTAATGGTGATGATCGGTGGAGGTGAGGTCTCAGGCACTTTAAAGCGTGTACAAGGTTTGGTAAGCACAAACGGCACACCTCTAGAGGGCAATCTAGTACTCTAACTAACAGAGACCTACTTATAGGTAGTCCATTTTAGGTCGTCACACTCATACATACACGCGCACGTGCGTGTACATATCATAAATAATATATATATATATATATATATATGGGTGTAATTTTAATAGTTATTTTAATTATAAGATATTAATGTGATGATTGTAATAAATTAAGTAGTTGATAAAAAAATTATGTTAATGAGATTTGATTCGTATCACATCTTATCATTAAATTTCTATATCTAATGGAATCACTGATAGAAATTTATCTATTGAAAACTTGTCTATATAGAAACACTATAATGAGGAGCCTTTCTCATTTTATGGAGCAATTGTTTTTGTCTATCAGATAGGTCTCATACAATAAAAAAAAATAGCAAGCTCATTGTTAGTTAAGTGCACATACGCTTATTAGAAACTTAAATAAAACAAAAATAAAAGAAAAAAAATGAATAGAAATCTTCTGTTACGCTGGCGTGAAAGGAGAGGATTATTTACGACCTACAATCTTAAAATAGTCAGATCTCAATAGGACGCCCTAAATCGTAGTCACAATTGTGATTGGGTGGCATCCCATGTTGGTTTGCAACCTTGAGCAGACAAAGGTTGCAATTTCGTCACTGGCCATTGCATATTGAGCGAGGCATGGGTTGTGATTATGTTGTGACCTAGTTCGACACACCATGGTCACAACCAAAAGAGGCGGAGGGGTGGTGACCCGTTCCCCATGGGTTGTGATCCGGCCTTTCAACTGTCAATCACGACGGCATCTTCATAAAGATTTGTTGGCAGAGTTGCTAGTTTTTTTTTTTTTTTTTTTTTTTTTTTTTTTTTTTTTTTTTTTGTTCTTAGATTTAAAAAAAAGATTGTTATTTAATTGTGATTGTGCCTATTCTTGTGATTAAAAACATGATGCATATTTAATCGAGTATGCATGAACTCAGGCCCCGTTTACTTCACTGATTCGAGTTTAAAATTCGAGTTGAGATGTGACTTTATGTTAGAGCTTTTTACTGTAACAAAAAAGTTAGATGTGATTATTTGTGAGAGCTTTTTACTGTAGAAAAACTCAAATTCTAAACTCGAATCAGCGAAATGAACGAGACCTCAATTCATTTGAGTTAGTTTGTCCTAATAATACGTGGTAATGTGGTATCAAGTATTCGTCAACTCGGTTCATTAGAACATATAACTTTTGGCGATAACTTTTCAAAATTGACGATTGAGTCCTTAAGCTTTTTTTAAGCTGATTAATCCATGATTTATGTTCCGTTTGCCAAAACTTCTATTTTACTTTAGTCAGTATTTGTAAAAGCTATAATTTTTCAGTAAATATTTAAAATAAAGAGTTTAATGATTTAAAATAAATTTTTAAAAAATGAATTTTAAATTTTTTAATAAGTAATAAAATTGTTAGAATTAAGGACTGTTCATTTCACAATTCGAGTTTTTAATTTTAAATTTTTACAGTAAAAAAAATTTAAAAAATATCATATTTAATTTTTTTATTATATTTTTTTTCATAAAAAATAGACATAAATTAAAAATAATTTTAATCTCATAATTCTAATCACACATGGCTATTTATAACGTTTTGATTAAACTCTAGTCGGCGAAACTGAAACTATGGCTCTGCGGTTCCTAATCTCAAGAGCATCTTCACCCAGAAATCTCCACCGGCATCTTCTCCACGATTATCCGACGATATTTCAATTCCTCAGAACCCTCCACTCTTTTTCCACTAATTCCCAGAATCCCCATCTCCCGTATTTCAGACGAATGCTCTCTTCCTCTAGCAACATTTCTCTCGATGACCGTGTCCCCGCCACCATCATCACCGGCTTCCTCGGTTCTGGAAAGGTGTTTTTTATTTTTTTTTATTTTTTATTTTATTTTAAATTTTATAACTCCCTTGTTGTGTTTTTGAAGTGGGTTTTGTTTTGTTTTTGTTTATATTAGGTATGGCTGATTTATTTATTTATTTTTTGAGATTTGAGAATATCATGTGATGATTTTGTTCTTGTAATGCAGACAACTCTGTTGAATCATATTCTAACTTCTCAGCATGGAAAGAGGATTGCGGTCATTGAAAATGAGGTACTAGAACATTTTTTTTAAATGCATTAACAAGTTATTGTTGTAGTTACATCAAAATTTTTTTGTGCTTAAAATTTGATGAGCTGATGGTTATTATAAATGGAATCAAAAGGGAGTTCCTTGTTTGAAGTAATGGATGAACATTCATGAGAGTAACCTTTCAAAAAGGCTATGACTCTGAAATCAAATTTAAATGCTTCAATCTCATAAAATTGAATGAAAGCTGTACCTTTTAGGCGTTCTCGGATAAGCCGGAATATAATTATTTATTCTTATTGAGCTGTGCATTTTTTTTTTTTTAATCTTTGCTAGGTTATTTTAGTAATGCACTACATTCCCTATGCAGTTTGGCGAGGTGGATATTGATGGGTCCTTGGTTGCTAGTCATTCCTCTGCAAGTGAAGAAATTGTCATGGTTAACAATGGTTGCCTGTGCTGTACTGTGCGGGGAGATCTAGTTAAAATGCTGTTGGAGTTGGTTAAGAAAAAGCGGGACAAGTTTGATCATATTGTTATTGAAACAACAGGTATATTTTTGCAGTTAGTCTTACTGCGTTTGAATTTTCTATATTTTGGTCTATTTAGTTGTATAGAAACAACAAAAATTTTAAGAAATTTCCTGGGTGGTCTTATATAGGCCCCGTTCATTTCACCGATTCGAGTTTTGTTACAGTAAAAAGCTATCAGAAACAGTCACATCTAATTTTTTTACTACAGTAAAAAACTCTCACATAAAGTCACATCTCAACTCGAATTAAAAACTCGAATCAGTGAACTAAACGGGCCCATAGTCTCGAGTTTCAGTTTCTACTTATCAGTTTTCTGTTATGCTCTGTTTTGATCTTTCAAGTTCTGTATTTTTAGTTGGATATCTTATTCTCTGTGTGTTTTGTATCTTAGAAGTTTCGATTCACAGAACTTCTTGTGGTTTCCTATCTATGAGGGTGGAAAAGAAGCTGATAATTGATATATCTATATTTACCTTTCTTGTCTCGGCAGGGTTTGCCATTGATTTTGTGGAATGTTTTGGTTTTTACACTTGTAAACAATAGGATAACGCTAGCTTTACATTTTCAGTTCCAAACTTGTTCATCAATTTACTTTGGAGCTTGATTATGATGATGAAATTTTCTTTTTGTAGGGCTTGCTAAGCCCGCTCCTATTATAGAAACGTTTTGTACTGATGAATTAGTCTCGCGATATGTGAAACTGGATGGAGTTGTCACTTTAGTTGATTCCAAGCACGCAATGCAACACCTGAAGGAACTAAAACCAAGATTTGTGGTTACCGAGGCAGTGGAACAAATTGCTTACGCTGACCGTATTATTTTAAACAAGGTAGAACTTTTATTTAACAGGTTATACTATTTTCATATTCTTACTAGTTGTGTTTTTGTTCCATTGAACTTCACCTATCTTGTCTATTATTTCCAAAATTGAAGGCTATACAGAGATGAATCTATCAACTGTTTTGGCAGATAGATTTGGTATCCGAGGATCAGTTGGAGACATTGACCAAGAGAATCAAGGTATGACTCTGTTTTAGACATGACTAGCTCCTTATAGGCGTTTAGTTAAAGCATTAATAGAGGTGGGATATAGACATATAGTGAGATGAGACGAGAACCTATAATAAAGATGGTAGGGGAAACTTGGGTTTGTGATCCTTTCTAGATTCGCAAGCTAACTCTCCCTTTTTTTATATAGGATAATACACGATTTTGATGATTCAGAATGACTTTCCTACATCAAATTGATTGGGGAACTTTGCTTTACTTGGTTTGATGGGGGTGCTAAAATAGTTCAACTTTTCACACGACTATAACTAGCAATGTGGGAAACGTTTTTCTAAGTAAGGAACTTAGAATGATGTTAAGGAGAAAAACCAAGTACAAGGGAGAAAGGGAAACTTAGTTTAACCTATCTAAGAAAACAGTTGACCATGGAGTCAATACACGGCATATGATCTCAAGTTGCTCTGGGACAAGATGAACAAACTTAATAGGTAACTCTTGGTTAGTAATCTTGTGGCCTTCAAGTTAAAAAATAAGAAAGTTCTGTGCAAAAGTGAAAGGGTAGTCCCTCCCGGGAACTTACTCTTGGTTTCTTGCTTATTTTAGCACTAAACACCTAGAACCTTTTGTAGGCTTTATGTCATTGCCTCCCAGTAAGATCATCTCCAATGCAAATGCTAACACTAATTTTATATTTAGCATAAAAAAGTATGATATGGTATATTATTTTCAATTAATGCTCTAATGCATAATGCTATTTGAAATGTTAAATTTACTTTTTCCCGTAATTATTAAGCTGTGAAAGTTGTAAAAATAAACTTTTATTTTAAAAAAAATTAGAAACTTCAAAAGTTGTAATGATCACATGAAAAAATAAACATTTTAACCAATAGCAATTAAATGCCAAATTTCCTATATGCTATACTTGGTGGGAAATTTGTTACAAAGTAAAGCACATGAGAAATTTAGCACAACAAATAACATTCAATTGGAGAGTGTTTTTAACACTTAAATGTAATTTGCAATTAGCACATCAATTATAGCATTGTATTAGAGATGCTCTAAGCTACTTTATTCTCTTTATCATCAAGGGTCTTATGAACTGTGCTAAACAATCAGTACATGACCTGGGCATAATCATGCAGAGCTCATAAAATAATTAATTTAAGTAGGGCCACTTTTCCTATACTCTAATTTAGTCCTTTTTAACCAAAGATTAGTTAAGTGCACTGTGCACTTAGTTATGATTAAATTGTATTGTACTAATCTTATCATTCATGAATTTTTGTTATGCCAAGTTTATCAGGACACTTCGAGAAATATGATGTTGATGAACCTAGAGGTGGACTCAATATGACATGTTTTGATCTTTTGGCATCTATTCAACTCTTTTGCGTAGATTTCATAATTAGCGAACTTGTAAAATTATTGATGCCAGAAAATCAATGGGATGGCACAAATGAAGCTGGCTAAGTTTGGATCTGTTGACATGGACTTCGTTTTGGGTGTGGGAGGTTATGATCTCGATAGGTTGGCTAATCTGTCTTGTGTCTCGATCCTGCATATTGTAATTTCTGTAGTACTTTGTTTCCGTTTCCTTCATTGTAGAAATGATCTGAACATGTTAAATGCATGAATTGGCAGGGTTGATTCTGAAGTTCAGGTAGATAGTTCCTGTTCAACAACCCATCATCATGAAACTGAAAAAGGTGTTCTTTTCTTTCTGTTTCTTCCTCTTTATTATTTTCTGTGTTTGTGTTCTCCTTTCCAGTTGGCCCATCTATTTGGCTTATTAATAGTTTTGCTTCAAAATATTAACAAGGAGGACGAGATTTGTGTAAGAGTGTATTTTTGTATAAATTTCCTCATGTATGTGTCATCTTGGATATATTGATGGAAGAAAAATTGAATCTATTCCTTGGGACTTCTCGTCTTGACAAGTACAAAATCAACAACTTGGACATTCATACGTGCGTATGAATCTTCTACTAATGAGATCTAGATGTCTATTGTTTAGTTTTTAAATCTCGTTAGAGGGGGAAAAACCCACGGTAGAAAAACTAAATTGATTCATGTTTGGGTTGTCAACTTATCCTCTGATCCACTTATTTCATTGCAGAATGCCACAATCATCATCACGATCACATACATGATTCTGCCGTATCTAGTGTGAGTATTGTTTCTGAAGGAACTCTTGATCTTGATGAGGTAAGTATATATTTTTTCCACTTTATATATCTTGCTTCTGTAAATTTGTTACGTTGCAAGTCAATGGGAATGTAATATTGCCACTAAGGGCATCTCCAAGGGTACTCACTAAAATTTAGGTAAATGTTAGTTAAAATAGTTAGAGCATCTCCAATGCAATGCTATAATTAATGTGTCAATTGCAAATTTAATATTTGAGTGCAAAAAACACTCTCCAATGCAATGCTATTTGTTGTGCCAAATTTCTCATATGCTATATTTTGTGGCAAATTTCCAACCAAGTATAGCATATGCGAAATTTGGCATTTGATTACTGTGAGTTTTTGAGAAAGGAATTTCTATAATTCTCATTGATGATTATGACTAATTGTACAGCCTTAAATAATAAGGGAGGAAGGACTCTTCTCTCGAAAAACAAGCAACCAAACAAGGAAAAATACAAAACAGGGAATCGGTGAATAAAACCAATATCCCTCTTATTCTAGGAAACAAATAAATCTAATTATAACTAATTTTTAGGAATCGGGTAACAGCTAATTCCTAGAAATCAAACATTAAATCGTAGATTTTCACACTCCCCCTCAAGCCTGGTTGTAGATGTTGATTAAACCAAGCTTGGAAATAAGATCCTTGAAGGTCTTCCTTTGAACAACTTTTTGTTAGGATGTCTGCAACCTGTTGATTGGTTGGAATGTACAAGAGAGATATCATTTCTGCTTCTATCTTCTCTTTGATAAAGTGTCTATCAATCTCCACGTGTTTGGTCCTATCATGATGTATTGGGTTCTTTGCTATGCTGATTGTAGACTGATTATCACAGAAAGCTTTCATAGGTTCCGAGACTGGAAATCTTAGTTCACAAAGCATCCTTTTCAACCATATTCCCTCACAGATGTCAAGTGTAAGAGCTCTGAACTCTGTTTCTGTACTGCTTAGAGAAACCACTGATTGTTTCTTACTTCTCTAAGTGATTAGATTTCCCCAAACATATGTACAATAACCTGAAATAGATCGTTTGTTAGTTACAGACCCAGCCCAATCTACATCAGTGAAGATCTCAACTTCTTTCTTTGCTGTCCTTTTGAAGAACAATCCTTGACCCGGTGTCATCTTTAAGTACTTTAGGGGTTGTTCTTTTGCATTTTTGAGTTAGGGTGACTTGAGTGATGATCTTGAGTTGAGTTTGAGTTATAACTTGAGTTGAAGTTGTAACTTGAGTTTGTGTTTGGATGTGCACATTTGAGTTATGATTTGAATTGAGAATTTTTTTGAGTTTGTGCTTGTGTGGGTCAAAACTTAAATTTGTATTTAGATAGTATTTTAATAAAAACTCAATGGTGATGAAAAATTTTAATAGGGTATATGAGTGAGGTTTATTCGTCTTTTCGTTGTGAATGCATAGAAAAAAATTATCTCAATCAGAATTAAAACGAAAAAGTTATGACATTTTTAAGAATAAAAAAATACTGTTCATTAACTGGAGTTTGAGTTTATGAACTCGAGTTTAGCCCCAAACTCGAATTCAAATTCAAATTTTACAAAAGAACATGAACTCGAATAAAGTTGTAACTCGAGTTTAAACTTTTTCTGAGTTTTGTTGTAAAAGAACAACCCTTTATAGTCTTGTATGCAGCTTCCATGTGCTCTTTTGTTGGATTGTTCATGAATTGACTAACCACACTTATAGCAAAGTTGATATTTGGTCGGGTATGAGAGAGATAAATGAGTTTCCTAACCAATCTTTGGTATCTCCCTTTGTCAACTGGAGTGCTGTCAATCTTACTTCCCAGTTTTGAGTTGGGGTCCATAGGAGTGTCTGCTGGCTTACATCCGAGCATCAATGTCTCTTTCAAGAGGTCCAACACATACTTCCGTTGTGAAATTAAAATGCCTCTTTTCGATCGAGCGACTTCCATGCCAAGGAAGTACTTGAGACTGCCTAAGTCCTTGATCTCAAATTCTTTAGCCAAGAAACTCTTGAGCCTAAGTATCTCTTCATCATAATCTCCGGTTAGGATGATATCATCAACATACACAATTAGTATTGCCCTTTTACCTAATGATGAATGCTTGACAAACATAGTGTGATCTGCCTGACATTGATCATACCCAAACTTCTTAACTGCCCTAGTGAACCTGTCAAACCAAGCACGCAGTGACTGCTTCAGTCCATACAAAGACTTCTTGAGTTTGCAAACCTTGTTCATCGTGGCTGGGGTAGTAAACCCAGGGGGGATCTCCATGTAGACTTCTTCCTCTATATCTCCATTAAGGAATGCATATTTCACATCCAACTGGTATAGGGGCCAATCTAGGTTTGAGGCAAGTGAGAGTAACACTCAGACTGTATTGAGTTTAGCTACAGGGGAAAAAGTCTCTTGATAATCTATCCCATAAGATTGAGTAAAACCCTTAGCTACTAAACCTTGCCTTAAATCTGTTAACACTGCCATCTGCATTATGTTTGACTGTGAATATCCACTTGCAACCAACCGGATGTTTCCCTGATGGTAACTCTGATAACACCCAAGTCTCGTTCTTTTCCAGAGCCCGAATCTCTTCCAAAACAGTTGCCTTCCACTCAGGTACATTTAGAGCTTCATGTATGGAACTCGGAACCTACATTTTATTAAGGGTGCCAACGAAATGCACGGTAACTAGGTGACAACCCTCCATATGATACAAAAGTGTAGATGGGATGATTTGTGCACGACCTAATGCCTTTTCTTATGGCAATAGATCTGTCATCAATAGATGAGTTGCTAGGGGCAGGATGAGAACTTGAGTTACTTGGTGAATTTTGAGGTTCAAGAGTCGGGTTGGATTCATGACTTTGATCATGTGGCTGCATTTCTTTTCCTTCTTGAGTCTTGTTCCTCCTAGAGTAGAGCCTTAAATAATAAGGGAGGAAGGACTCTTCTCCCGAAAAACAAGCAACCAAAAAAGGAAAAATACAAAACATAAAATCGGTGAATAAAACCAATATCCCTCTTATTCTAAGAAATAAATAAATCTAATTATAACTAATTCCTAGGAATCGGGTAACAGCTAATTCTTAGAAATCAGACATTAAATCATAGATTTCCACAATTATTATTGGTTGAAATGTTTACATTTTCTATGTAATCAATGCAACTTTTGCATTTTCTAATTATTTTAAAAATAAAAATTTACTTTTACAACTTCTAAAACTTAATAATTATGGGAAAAAATAGATTTAACATTTCAAATAGCATTATGCATCGGAGCAAAAATGAAAATAACATACCATATGATAGTTTTTGATGCTAAATATACAATTAGCATTAACATTTGCATTGGAGATGGTCTTAGAAAGCAATTTTAGCTAGTAATTTTTAGGTGAGCCACTCTAACCATACTTCTTATTTTAACTAAATATAGGCTATTTTAATATTTATTTAATTTAGAATATAAATAACTTTATTGGATTTAAAAAAGAACGATTGCATTTTATTATTTGAAAGAATAAAATAATAGAAAAAATGAACTGACTAGCCTTTTCTTGCTAGTTATATTTGGCTGGTGTGAAATGCATTCTTCAAAATAGCTAACCATTTGACTAATGATTGGAGTAGAGAAAAGCCAAAAAGAAGTTAAATAGTTAGTCATGTTGGCGTAAAACATAAAATGATTAGAATGGTTGGAGATGCTCTTAAGGCATCTAACCGTTTTGCCGATATTATATATCCAGTAACTCCTGTTGAGTAGTGCTTGGTGGCTTGTTTTTTTCTTTTTTCTTTTTTTTCCTTAAACTTGATTTAATATGCATTAGACTCCTTTGTTATACATTATGTTGATCGCATATTCAGATATATGTAAGCTGAATATGTAACATTCTATTTATATCTTTGTGTTTCTTTGTGAAAGTTTTCGAAAATGTGCAAAATGAGGCTCCTCCACAAATGACCTCTTTTCTCACCTACATTCGCTTTGAAGTATCCTTTCATGCTGCTTGGTGTATCTAGGGCTGGTAATTTGGGTAGCAACACGACGACACGATTTGAAACCCACACGAAATTAGCGGGTTTGGGTTTACTATAAATAGGTTTGGGTCATAACCGGGTTGACACGATTAATAAATGGGTTGAGTTAGGGTTGACCTCATAACACGATGTGATACGAATTGACATGATTAACTGTATGTGTCATTTGCAATCTAATGATATGTGATATAACATAAAAGTTTATATGACAAATTAAATACAAATAATGTGAATTTTAATAATTGTTGGTAAAATTCATTTATTTTTCTTAAAGGAAAAAATAAATTGACCAATAAACATGTTAAACCTGTCATGACCGTGTTAAATAAATCATTATTATATTAGTTATTTATTTAAGATATTAATTTAAACGGGTTATACGGTTAACATGATTAATAAATAGATCGTGTTTGGGTTGACATTTTTGACACGTTTAATAAACATGTTGTGTTTGAGTTGATGTTTTCTGACACGATTAATAAACGGGTTGACACGAACATGGTCCACTAACCCGAATTGCCACCCCTAGATGTATCAATATGCTTTGTATACTTGTCATGCATAAACTTCTAGGTGCACCATAAATTGATGTCATTTTGCAACTGATAGAAAATGCATTATCTAAAAAATATTTGTCACTTAAGAATAGACAGAAAAAATTTGCTTAAAGCTATGTTCTCAGAACTCTAAAAAGTCATCACTCTATTATTTCTTTCCTTTGCAAAATGTAATTGCCGCCCTTTCCGTCTCTCCAATAGCCACTAGCGTTAGCACCCAAGAAAAGGTCTAGTGTCATATTAGCGTCTTGTTTAATCTTCTCAATATAATTATAGAACGAAAGTAAATATTATTGCCTCGTTCTGAATGAACCAGGTTGATGATTGGCTTGAAAGAGTGATTGAAGAAAAAGGAGAGGACTTGTACAGAATGAAGGGTGTCTTGTCTGTAGAAGGATCGGATCAACGTTATGTTTTTCAGGTTTACATTTTTCATGCTTTTATAGTGTCACATTTCTTGTTTTGTATAGAATCTAAATCTAATCAACCTTTTTCCTTAATTTTGTTAATCCTCTTTTTTGCATATTTTTTTTCTTCTTTAGGGAGTACATTCCATGCTAGACGGTTGCCCGGGCAGTACGTGGGGACCGGATGAAAAGAGGGTAAACAAGCTTGTGTTCATAGGAAGGAATTTGGATGCAAATGCTTTGAGAAAAGGTTTCAAAGGTTGTCTGCTGTGATGAGAAGTTGACATGCATGATGCATCCAATGCAATGTTTCTCAACTAGTTAGCTTCTATACCACGTGTTAGCATATCCAATGTTGAATTTGGGTATTCAAAATATTGGTCATGTCTTGTATTGAAACCATCAATAGACAAGATTGTTCATTGAATAATACAAATAGCTGTTACTGTTCCCTTACTGTTGGGTCTAGTGGCACCGGGGGCGGGGTGGGGCCTTTAGGGGGAGGTTGCTGGTTTAATCTCTCCTTGTGAAAAAAAAAAAAAAAAACCTGCTCCGAAGGAGATTGGCATTCAGTTACATAGATGGCTTTGGCTAAGAGTAGGGTGAGAATCAAGATTTGTAATTGGGAGTTCGTGTACGAACAATTGTTTAAAATATTTTATTTACTCATTTGGGAGCAAAAGCTCGTCACATGATCTTTATGAGAAGTTAGTGGCGTTAGCATTATTCTTAACATATTATTTTGTAATAGCGGAGATGGTTCAAATCCATTATTGTTCTTGCATGGTAGTATTGAGTTTTTTTAGTTGACATTTTATAAATAATCTAAAGGAGAGCTTGGGGGTATTGTTCACGCAGACCCATTTTGCTGTTCCTTCTACAGTGAAGTGACGATTTTGCCCTTTTCTCTTTCATTTTCCTTCACTCTACTAGGGGTTGTTTTGTCTATTTGCCACTTGCGCGTTGCTTTCGCGGTTTTGCCCCTGCTCCTCTTTCACTCTTCGGTCTCTTGCGCTGGTGTGTTTGGTCTTTTCCCGGTTGGTGTAGCCCTAAGTGTTCTTTCCTCTCTCGATCGTCTCTCTCTTGCCCTTCTTCGGTCTCTTGCCCTAGTGTGTTTGGTCTTTTCCCGGTTGGTGTAGCACTAAGTGTTCTTTCCTCTCTCGATCGTCTCTCTCTTGCCCTCTTTCGGTGGCTGCCGTAGATCCCTCCTTCGATCATCTTTTGCCCCTTTGATCTTCTTTCCCTTGCCCTCTTTCACTGGTGGTTTGTGGGCGAAGCTTTGGGATTTTATTGTTGCCTTCTCCGTCCTGCTTGGGCATTTTTTATTGCGGTTTTGGTGGGATTTTTTACTGTGATTTTGCTGGATTGGTGTTTGATTCATGCGGGTGTTGGCCCGGGCATGTTGGGTTTTCCTCAGTTGCTTCTGTGCCCCTTCGATCTTCTTTCCCTTGCCCTCTTTGGCTAGCGGTTTGATTTCCTTTGCCTTTCTCTTCTGATTTTGGGGGAAGCCTTGGGATTTTATCATTGCTTTCTCTGTCCTGTTTGGGCATTTTTCTTTGCGGTTTTGGTGCAATTTTCTACTGTGATTTTGCTGGATCGGTCTTTGATTCATGAGGGTGTTGGCGCGATCCTGTTGGGTTTTGCTCTGTTGCCTTTGTGCTTGCTTGATCTATGGTTTTGGGTTCGATTTTTGTCCGACTTTGGCTCATTGCATGTTCAGTCATTTTTTGTCCTTGTCCTTTTCCTTTGATTTTGGGGGAAATTTTGGGATTTTATCCCTTCTTCCTTTGACATTGTTCTGCCATTTTCATTTGTGGCTTGCTTTTGTGCCTCATTTGTTCTGATTTTTTTTAATGCTCACTGAAGTTGGATTTGGATTTTGGTGCAGGCCTCTTCGGTTCTCCTAGATTGCTTCTAGGCTTGCTTCATTCGTGGTTTTGGTTTGGGTTTTTCTTTATTCTTGAGTGACTAGATGCTTGGTCTATTTTTTCTTCTTTTTTCCCCTGGTTTTAATGTTTACTTACATTATTCTCTTCATTATTTGCTTTTGTGCTCCACCTATTTGGATTTGTTTTGTGTTTTTCGAGATTGTTCTGCCATTTTTATTTGTGGCTTGGTTTTTTGTCTCATTTTTTATGATTTTTTTCAATGCTCATTAAAGTTTGATTTGGGTTTTGGCGCAGGTCTCTTTGGTTTTCCTGGACTGCTTCTAGGCTCGCTTCATTCATGGTTTTGGTTTGGGTTTTTATCTGTTTTTGAGTGACTAGATGTTCGGCCCCTTCTTTCTTTCTTTGTTTTTTTTGCCTGCTTTTATTGTTTAGTTACATTATTCTCTTTGCTATTTGTTTTTGTGCTTCATCTGTTTGGATTTGTTTTGTGTTTCTTAAGCCTGAAACCAATTTCTAATTGGCTGGCATGTACGGTACGTGAGAAATTCCTTTACAACTGTTTATTATTTTCCTTGATTGGTCTTTTTGTTCACAAAAGACTTCTTATATGCGTTGTTCTATATTGTTTCCGGTTAATCTTGATTTTGTTTGCATGTATTTATTGAGGTGATGATCTGTGGACTCTATGGTGCTGACTTGTCTTTCTACGTTGATGACTTATGCTCACTTTGCTGTAGAGGTATTTAATGAATCCTTGATTTTTTTTTATTTTCTGGAACGTGTAAAGAATTTAGCCAATGTGGGTAATTGTTAAATTTATATTTTAAATACGTGTCTTACCTCTTTTCTGTACTTATGCTCACTCTACTGCAGAGGTATTTAATGAATCTTTGATTTTTATTTTTATTTTCTGAAACGTGTAAAGAATTTAGCCAACAAATGTGGGTAATTGTTATATTTATATTTTAAATATGTGTCTTACTTCTTTTCTGTATTGCCATTAATGTATTGCTTTTTATTATTTAATCTGAAAACTTCTGGTTTTTACCTCACCGATTTTGGGCCCTTACGTGGGATTTTGTTATGGGCTGCTCATTAGTTCTCTCTGTCTATTTAAGAATGTGTCTGCACATGAATTTATCATGCATTCTCCTATTATTTTCCCTTCCATCCCCTGTTTTTGCTTTCTTATTTCACTTTCAATCATTTACTATCTTTTGGTCACGTTTGGTTGACTGATATTTCAGACTGAACACAGTATTTGTAGCGTTCGAGGTACTCCTGACACTTCTTATCCATAGCTTGCTCATTTATGCTGTTGATATTGAATGCACTGGTTTGTTGTGGGCCTATTAATGTCTGCGGTTTGTCTTTTATTACCTGTCCTTTTTTTTCCTCTGTATTTGCTTAGTGTATCTGTCTTGGTTTTCCTCTGTGACTTCCTTACTTATTTCTTACTTACATGTGTGTGCATGTCCTCATATATATATATATATATATATATTCCTATTTTTACTTATCCCAGCTTTAGTAACTTTTTGTGTGTGGCGATGATCATCGTAGTTTGTCTTCATGTGTTGACTTTTACGTAATTTGTCCAAAGATTGCTGTGAATGTGTCGTCTTTGTTTGGATCCTGGTTTTATCTGTTATTTTTTGTGTAGATTTTTTACTCCTTTGTGTGTTATCACCTCTACTTATTCCAGGGCCTTTGCCTCTCCATATTGACTATTTTATTGAAAACCTCTTTATAGGTATCTTCACTTTTTTATTTCACGCTAAATTTTAGCTCCACCATCCTGTTTTTACTGTTTCATAGGGAAAAAAAAATTATTGGACAAAAAGACAAATATTGTGTTGTCTCATTTTTGTCCTCTTATAACATTCTTCATCATTTTTATTACTCTGTCTCTTTGTCCTTAGTCTTCTTCTTTTACCTGTTTCCTTTACTTATTTACAGTCCTTATTCTGTTGTTGGTGTTGTTCTTTTTTCCCTCTCTTTCAATTCACCCGGTAGCCTTTTATTTTTTGTCTAGATTTTTAACTCCTTTATGTATTGTTACCTTTACTTATTCCAGGGCATTTGCCTTTTCCATATTGACTGTTTTATTGAAAAACTCTTTATAGGTGTCTTTACCTTTTTCTTTCAAGCTAAATTTTAGTTTTGCCATCCTGTTTTTACTGTTTCATACAAAAAAAAAAAAACTAATGGGAAAAGAGACAAATATTCTGTTGTCTTATTTTTGTCCTCTCATAACGTTCTTCATTATCTTCTTATTACTGTGTTTCTTTCTCCTTAGTCTTCTTCTCTCAACCGTTTCCTTTACTTTTTCTTAGCATAAATTACAGTCCTTATTGCTCTATTGGTGTTGTTGTTTTCCACCTCTCTTTCAATTCACCCGGTAGTTTTTGGACAACTTTATGTATTAGTCCATTTTTTTATTTTGTGTCGCATGTGTCCTACAATCTGTGCGGTGAATATGATATTCTGCCTCTTTGTGCATTTGTCCTTAGCAAGTTGCTAGAATCTATTTATCATACATTGCTGGGAACATACTATACCTAAGTTGTAATTACTATCTAAAAACATTGTTATGCCTGCATCCACTACTTTTTTAGGCTCTTTTTCCTCTATTTGTTTATTCATTTACCTGGTTAATTCTCTTTTTCCAGGTTTGGTCCTGTTTATTCTACCATCCTATCACCTCTATATCATTGGCTCCTGTTCACACCCAGTTGGTTCGTATTTGGTGTTTCAGAGAGAATTTATAGCGTTTGAGGTATTGTTAATAGTCTCCCCCTATCACTTTCTAATTTTGGTTGCTTACACTAGATGCATTGATTGCTTGGATTAAAGTTGTTTCTAATGCTAATTAGTTATGTAGAGTATGATGGCTTTAGAATGCTAATCTGATAGGTTGAACCTAGGTTATTAGTCCCTTCCCATTCGACTATCACTACAAATTGTTTGGAACACTACTTGAACAAGACAAATAAATTGAAGACCGTGTTGATATTTGAGAAAATATTTTCTAATTCTATATAGTTACCTATTGTATGAGAAAAAAGTATCAGCCATATTTAAATTTCAAAGAGATAATAATTATAACATTGTATTTAGTCATATGATAGAACATAAAAATAAAAATGAAATAATAACTGACTTAATTAGAGATGAATTTGAAATCTATTAATCACTGACATTTATTGTTCAATATTTAGGCGTGACCCTATAAATGTAAGAAATTTTATGTGACTATCGATAACGAACTACTGGTTTTATGTTCTTTTTCTTCTTCTATACAACCTCTTTAGTGTTCCTTTTTATTTTTTGCTCCTTTCCCCAATATAACAACTTAGTTTGTCCATTTCTCATAAATTGACACTATTATTTTATCTCTTTTTGACTCCATTGTAGAACTTACTTCGTTAGTTTCAATCTCATAGGTTAATTTCACTGCTATATTCCTTTTTCTATACCCTTCTCCACTCCCCTTTTATGTGACAATGATGATTACAATTATTTTTTATATTTTTAATATTATATAATTTACCTAAAAATTATTCATATCATTTTATATTTTTTTTTACTTATTCCAGTTCCTTCTCTTCTTATCATCTCAATATATTCCTTTTTCATTTCTTTTTAATCTATCTCATTTCCTCAGTTTTACTTATACAATTTATTGCCTTTTTTTTCCCTACTCTTTTTTCCCTAGCATTTCCTTCCCCTTTGCTCTATATACGTTTTCAAGTTTTTTTACTTTCTTATATTCTGACAATGCCTACTCTTCCCTAA